TTAGGGAGTTTAAAAGTCTCAGGATTTTAGGGAGTTTAAAACGCCCAGGATTAAAACTCCTGGCTTTTCTTTTTCCTACCTCAGGCACAGAGAACAGACCTGAATTTATTATACCTTTTGCTTTGCCCCAGGGAATGCTCCAGTAACCGAGCTCCTCAGTATCATGGCATCCGGAAGCAATTAGCTCAGCCTACAGCTATTAATTAAGAACACACACACACACACACACAAAAGAAGACTGGCCCTGTCAGCAGAGCTGAGTTGGATCCTGATTGGGCTTCTAGGTAGGAGAGTGGCCTTGGGCAGATCATGTTTTCTAAGCCTCAGATGTCGCATCTGTAAAGCGAAGATAATACAGCCTATTTATTTTATTTTATTATAAAGTTGTGGGGTGCAAGTCAGGATTGCGTACATAACTGGTTTAGATACACGGAAAGCTTTGGGCCTCCTGTTGGCCCTCACTTCGCCTGGATGTGGTGTCCTCCCTTCCCCCCATAGTGTCCTGCTACTAATAATCCCTTTTTTGTTGTATTATGATAGGTATTCAGGGTCCGATTATGAGTAAGGCAGGTGGTACTCAGTTATTTGTTTCTGTGAAAAATCAGAGTACAATAGACTCCAAATCCATTCAAGTTGCTGCAAGTTCCATAATTTTGTCCTTTGTGGCTGCATAATATTCCATTGTACCACCTTTTTTTTTTTTTTTTTATCCAGTCCAGTTTCAATGGGCAGCATGGTTGGTTCCATGTTTTGCTATTGCAAATAGTGTGCCAATAGTGTTGCAATAAACATGCATGGGCAGGTATCTTTTTTCTAGAATGACTTGAGTTCTTCCGGGTACATGCTCAGAAGGGGGATTGCTGGGTCGAATGGAAGATCAATGTCTAGTTCTTCTAGAAATCGCCACAGTTTTCCATGGAGGTTGGATTAGTTTACATTCCCACCAATAGTGTAGAAGTGCTCCCTTTCCTCATCCCCGCCAGCAGCTGTTGTTTTTTGAATAAAGTCTATTTCTAAGGACGGTTATCAGAATTGCAGGTGTGAAGTGCTTAGCTCAGAGCAGATGTGAAATAAATTGGTAGTGATTACTTCTTTCCAGGCAGTTGTAAATCTGGGAGACCTGGCCCCTTGCCTGGCTAGTATGTGGAGGTGCCGCCTTCAAACACTCAGGACTCACACCTGCCTGTCTGCATTCTCCACACCAGTCTTCTGGGGACAAGACAAAAGGAATGATCCCTTCTCTCGGGTTCCCCCATCACCCCAGCAATGCCCCAGTCCTGGCATGCACTTGCAAATGTTCTCAGCGTATTTGCTCAGGTCACGCTCACCACCCTGTACCATGCTGACCCTTCATTCCTAAATTGGGACCCATTCCTGGAGACAAGACCCTCTGGAGTCTTTACAACTTCCCTGTGCTGAAATATCTGAACTTCACCCCATATTGTCTTGCCATTAAAACCTAGGAGTGTCCGTCTCAGAGCTGACTGCATTTTTCCTCCAACTGTTTTCACAAAATTGATTTCGCAATCACCTGGAATAGAATTTGCTACTCAACATAGCATCTGGCAGGATGTTCAGAATAAATCATTAAGAAGCACTTAAAGTTTCGCCTATTAAAATCTTCCCACACAGCTCAAATACTGGGCATGCTCCTCTCTCATGGTGTCTTATCAGTCAGAAATGGTTTCCTCTTCCCTCTCTCTGCACTCTTATCATAGCTATCTTAATGGAATGTTTATTAATTGTTCCAACATTACATAATCTATGACTGGCAAGTCCACAGTCCAGCGGTATATGGCTGAAAAGCATCTCCCCAAAATTCACATCCACTGAACTCTCAGAATGTGACCTTATTTGAAAATAGTGTCTGCGTAGATATAATCTAGTTAAGATAAGGTCCACTTAATTAAGGTGGGCCCTAAATTCAGTGATTGATGTCCTCATAAGAAGAAGGAAGTTTGGACTGGGCATGGTGGCTCATGCCTGTAATCCCAGCACTTTGGGAGGACTGCTTGAGCCCCGGGGTTTGAGACCAGCCTAGGCAATATAGCAAGACCTACAAAAAATCAAAAAATTAGCCAGGCATGGTGGCATGTGCCAGCAGTCCCAGGTACTCGGCATACTGAGGTGGAAGGATCACCTAAGCCCAGGAAGTCAAGGCTGTGGTAAGCTGTAATTGTGCCACTGCACTCCAGCCTGGGCAACAGAGTGAGACCCTGACACACACACGCTCACACGCATACGTACATACACACACGAACAATGTCCTAGTATCAAAGGGTTTAACTGAAAAGAAAAAGAACAATGGTGGGACAGTAACCTCAAAATAGCCAGAACAGAATGGGTGTGTTAAGTTGACAGACTTCACTCACTTTGATGGGTTCTGAATCCTCTCCTTCCAGCAGAGCTGACATGATTCTGACAAAACAGCTCATTCCCACACACAGATAGACCAACACAGCCTTTCTGGACAGAACCTGTGGAAATACTTATGAAAAGCCATCAAATATTCATTTCTTTGGGCTTTGGACTCCTGGTCTTGGGAATTTATGCAAAGGGAATGATAATTCAAAAGGAAAGAGAGTGGGAATGTACAGCTTAAACACTTTGTGACACATTTTTTATAACAATGAAAACTTGGGAACAACTGAAGATGACAATGGGGAGCGCTCAGTGTCTCCACACTGGTCACACCACCCTCATCTCTGCCCCCATGGCTGTCACAGCCTCCAGCTTGTCTCTCTGTTTCCGCCTGTGCCCTGAGGTCTACATCTACTCAGCAGCCAGGGACCCTTTCAAAATGAAATGGCATTGCTTCCTCACTTTCCTCCAAAATATTCTCACCACCCTCTCTGCTCCATCCAGGTCTGAACTGCTGCCTCCAGGGACCTGGGTTACAGCAACAGCTCCCTGACTCTTCTCCCTTCCACCTTCCTTCCCTTTAGCGGGACAGTGAAAGTGCTCCTCTTCAAATCACAAATCAGATCGAGCCACTTGTCAGCCCAGAACCCTCCAGTGGCTTCCCATCTGACTCAGAGTAAACACATATGACTCAGAGCAGTCAGTCGACGATTACAGTGGCACACCGGGAGTTCGTCTTCTTTCCAGTCACACGCAATCTTTTTGTTGGCTGTTCGCTCTACACGTCATGTTCTTTCTCCATACGTCTACGTGGCTCACTCCCTCGCTTTCTTTTAAGCAGCGAGTCCAATCCCTCTCCTCAATGAGTTCTTCATCCACCCCTGTTTTACATTGTACCACTCCACTCAGCCTCATTCTACTTCCCTGTTTTATTTTTTTCTCTTAGCATTTATCTTCTATCACACTAAATAACTTACTTAAAATTTTTCCAATGTCTGCCTCCATTGGCCCAAACACACGCACACTGGAATATAACTTCCACAAGGAAAGGAGATTTTATCTGTTTTACTCATAGGTGTTTCCCCTGCACCTAGGACAGTGTCTGGCATATTGTTGACATTCAATAACTACTTGTTTAAAGAACAAATGGTGCCGAGCTCGGTGGCTCCGCCTGTAATCCCGCGCCTTTGGGAGGCTGAGGTGAGTGGATTGCCTG